CTGGCCTCACAGCACCACAGGACACCTTCTCAAGTCCCTCTGAGATGGGCTGGGACACCACCAAGGGGCACGAGAGCCCAGACTGGGCTGGGCAGGCCCTTCTGCAAGGAGGGCCAGGGGGAGTGTCCGACAAGGGGGCCTTTCCCCAAGCCCGTGAGCCCCTGGGACTCCTCACCAGGGTTTAATCTGGACACTTCTCCCCATTCCTGCATGAGGTGTTCTAGAATCCTTAGGGCTGATGCTTCTGCAGAGCAGCGACCCTCAGCAGCCACAGAGGCGTCCTCCACTTAAGCAGAGGGGTCAGTCAAGATGGGCCTGGGCACACCTTCTTCCCAGGTGAGGAGCTGACCAGATGACAGCCAAGTGGCTACCCAGAAGTCAGCTTAGCAAGCCGCTCCTGGCCGGCAGGGCAATGGCTGTGGCCAGGCGCCCGCAGTCAGGGCCTCAGCAGCCTCACTGGCCAGGCCTGGATCCCCGCGGTTGCTGCTGGCTACGTGGCCTCACTCAAGTCCCCCCACTGGGTCAGGGTGGAGACAAGTAGGTAAGAATAAAGGGTCTGCACCCCCTCTCATCACAGCTGGGACAGGCCAAGCCACAGTCCGGAATGCTGGGCGATCTGCATGAACCCCCCGACCCCTAGTGGCAGCTGCAAGGGGTCGCATCAAGACATGGAAGCCCAGAACACCTCATAGGGCTTCCGGGAAAACCAAGGAAATGGTCATTGAAGGGTCCAGTCCCAACTGGCCACTCATTTCCAAGCACCGTAACCCCGCCGCAAGACACAGAGACATGGAGAGCAGAGAGGGGCCCAGGCAGGGCAGCTGAGTGAGGCGGCACAGACGAGCCCTGACTGCAGAGGGCGCCTGGCACGCTGGGGCGCGTAGGCGAAGCTGCGGGGAGTCTGTGCACCCACTCCGAACAGGGGGCACAGGAAGGCACCCTTAGGAAGCTGCCTGTGCGCCCCAGGCCCCCTTGTCTGGAGGGGCTGGAGGAGCCGCAAAGGACTGGCCTCCCTTCCAGTCTGCCCCAGGCCCCACTCGGAGGCCGGGCACCTGGCTTTGGGGAGGCCGCTGCGGGTGCTTGGACTGTGTGCCCACTTTGGGCAAGTGGCCCAGCCTGTTCCAGGCCCTCTAGACACTCAGCAGGAACCACCTCCTACCTCCTGGAAGGGTCTCCGAGGGCAGCAGTGCCAGAGAGAAGGGGCATGGCATTCCTAGCCTGTGCTGGCCACTCAGCCATTCACCTCCACAGCCCCACCAGCAGGGACCCCAATGTGGTCACTCAGCTCGAGGAGGACGGAGACCTGCAAGGTGGCCTTCGTGCTCCTGACCACAGTGCTGCCTCGGGCACCTGGAAGCGGGGCCAGGAGCCTTGACGGGGTGTCCAGGATGGGGGGTGCACCAGGAGAGCTGACGAGGGCACAGGGAGGGCAGGGAGTCCTGCGAGGCCAGCTCCCAGGGCCTCAGGGAGGCCCCATCTTTGCAGCCACACACAAATACAAGCAAGAGGCCAGGTACCTCCCCCGCCCCCCACCCCACCCCCGACCTCAACGGGGACTGCCAGGAGGGGTAGAGTCTTCAAGAAGCCAGCAGCACTTAGAACACACCAGCTTGACAGGGATTCTGAGGGGAAGGCCTGACTGGGCACCAGGACAGCTGACTCAGAGGCGGACGGCGACACGGGTCTGGCGGGGCAGCCAGGCCCCAAGGCCAGCGCCGCCTGATGCACCAGAGACATTCTGTTAGGAAGATTACGGCCCGAAACGGGAGCATCAAAAATAATTAATCTGCGAGCAGATTTTATTTAAGTGTTGATTCATGGCTGTTCTATAAGCCAACAGCCCGTCAGAACTATAAATTAACGAGATGAAATGTTGCTGGCCCCCCATATTTCAGGCTGGGTATTGACGTTTTCGAATCCACAGATTTTTAGCTGTATTGATTGAGGACACCGGGATAAACGGCCTTGGCGCCAAATTCCCATTAGCGACAATGGGAGCCGAGTGACTAATTCCCAGAGCACCGCGGTGAGAACGCCCTGCGCGGCCTTCTCCTGGCAGGGAGTTCTAAATTAGATTGAAATGAAAAAGCCAAATCACCAAGGGCGGAAAAAGGCAGATCAAGTGGAAAGGGAGCTCAGACTCGGGGCTGAGAAAGGACGAGACGAGTCAAACCCTGCCGGGAGCCCCCGGGACTGCACAAGCTCCCCCAACCCCCGCCAAGGGGTCCCCAGCACAGCCGGGGCCAGGCCGGGTGAGGACAAGGTGGGAGACTGACCGGCTTCCCTGCCCAGGAGGATGCAACCTCAGCTCTGCCTCTACTCCCAGTTCAGCACCCACCACGGCCCGGGGCTGGAGAAGCAGGCCCGGAAGGACAGGCCCCCTCACTCAAGGAGCGCCCACACTGGCCAGAGAGATGGACACAGGAACAGCAAGCCCCAGCCTTGAGGTCCCTGTCGCCCCAGCTCTGGGCCCTGCACACAGCAGGCGCTCATTTGCACATGGGCCTTCCAAGGAGGGGTTGGTATTGGGCAGCAGGGTGTGGCGTGGGCAAGCACCCCACCGGGTGGCAAAGCCCTGAGGCAGGAGTTGCACCTTCCCTGTGCCCCCAACACCACAATGGAGGCACCAGCCTGACAGGTCCGCCGCCCCTCCCCCCGCCCACCCAGGCTCTGGTCAAAGCTCCCAAGGAGACGTGCTGATTCCCTTCTGCTCCAGCAACAGCCCGGCACCTGCCGTCCCCAGTTCTCCATCTGAAATGCCCCGGCACCCTCCACGTGTGCACCGAGGCACTGAGAAGCCTTCACTGTGCTCAGGTGAATCTGCACTTGATGAATCCAGCAGCCTTACTCCCTCACACCAGGTGAGTGCAGCGTCCCCACAGGAACTCAGTGACCGGGGGCGGGGGTGTGCCTGGGAAATGCTGACCCACAAGCAGGAGCCACTGATGGCTCCACGTGCCTGCCCCCTCCCCTCCCCCAGCTGCCTGCACCCCCTTTCCACAATCCCCCCCAGTCACAATCCCCCCCCTGAGGAGCCCATCCTCTTCCTGTCAGCAACACCCCTCCACCCAGACTCTGCCCCCAAGTCCTGCCTCAGGCTGCATCTCACTTCCTCTGGGAAGTCTGCCTTGATTTCCCAGGCGAGGTGTTCTTAGAGTTCCCGGGTCTTGCCCGGTCACCTGGGCTGGACTCCTCCCTCACAGCTGCTCCCCGACACGAGCCTCTCCAGGGCGCATCCCTGGCACGCTCACCTGTCTCCAGCCCCGCACATGCACACAGTGGAGCACGGCGGCCAGGTGAGGGGCTGGCAGGCCTGTGCACATCTGGCCACATGAGAGGATCTGGGTGACGCGGCGGGGAGGCGCGTGGGGCCTAGATGAGGCCCGGCTGCCAGGCTGGAGGAGCGGGCTCAGCACAGGGCGGCGCTCGGGACAGAACCTGCTGCTTCAGCACCGTCACCCCACGGTGCCCAGCATCCTGAGCCCGGCCTCTCGGGCCCTGCGGGGCTCGCAGGCCATGGCACCGTGCAGCAGACCGCTCACAGTCAGGACCAGCCAAGACGTGGCTCCAACTCTCACTTGCCAGGACTCACGCTCCTGAGCCTCGGTCCCCTGGCCCGGACAGTGGGGGCCGCGGCCAGCAGCGGGGGACCGGCCTGAGGCTCGGGATGGAACCTGCAGGGCCGCGCACCACGGTGGCAACACACCCTCAGTCTTCCATCAGCCCCACTCAGCTCCTGAGGCTCCACCGGGGCGCTGCACGCCACCCCTGGCGGCCCAGAGGGGACACTCAAGGCACGAACCGCACCGCAACTGGGGAGAGCGCCCTGGGCATCCCTCGCTCCCTCCTGCACTTGCTCCCAGTGCCCAGAAGCTGCTCCCTGGCTGGATCGAGTGCGGCTCCTGCTGGCCCGCACCCCCAGTGTTCAGGACTGCCAGGGCGGGAGACCACCCTCCTTGACCCCCTCTCCTTCTCCTCGCCACCAAGGGCCCCCTACGACAAGCCCAGGTGAACCTATCTTACCCAAAAGCCCCTTCAGCATGGGCATTAAAGCAGAACTCGTTTGGGGACTTCCCTGAGGAGCTGGGGTCACTCCGTAGGCCCTTCAGCCACAGAGCACTGACGGGAATTCTGCACTGCTCCCACCCAAAGGACTGACAGAGCGAACTCAGTTTCACTACAAATTGCATGTCAGAGGTTGATTAAAAAGCTGCCTCTTTATCCGGTCTTTATCCAGCCCCACAGCTTGGGGCTGGGGCACCCTCAGGCAGCTGGCCCACTCTAAACCCCCAGGCAGCAGGCAGGGCACAACAGGTTAAAATGCAGCATGAGGGCCCTCCCTGGTGGCGCAGCGGGTTAAAGCACAGCACAAGGAAGCTTAAGCCACTTCCTCATGAGGTCGATTCACTTGCCCCGGAGGTGACCACATGGCGCGGCAGACCCCTCCTGACCCGCCCGCTGCTCCCCTCAGCAGTGTACTTTGTTGATCTGCCTGTTCTGTACCACGCTCTGTCTCTGGTGAATCCTCTCACCCTCCGCATCTCTGGCCTGTACCCCAGTTCTATACGAATAAATAAATCTTTAAAAAAAAAAATGCAGCATGAAGCTATCACAGCCACTTCCGCATGAGTTCGATCCTGGCCGGAGGTGACCCACAGGGCTCGGCAGACCTCTCCTGACCCACCTGCTGCCCCCCACAGCAGTGGGCTTCGTCAGTCGGCCTGTTCTGCTCCCTACTCTGTCTCTGGTGAATCCTCTCACCGCCCCTGAACCTCTGGCCTGTACCCCAGTTCTGCCTGTATAAAGAAATCTTTAAAAAAACAAAACGAACAAAACCCCCAGGCAAAAGGCTTGGACACACTCTGCCCGCACCAGCCTGTCCTGCGGCCCCGCCCCCACGGGCCTGTGGCTCCCCACAGAGACGCCTCCCCGACAGGAAAGCCCACCCCGGTGCCCGCGCTGAGAGGAGGGCCCTGGCGTCGTGACACAGAGAAACACACCTGTCTCGAGGTCTGTCAGGCGCAGGGTGGAGTCGAAGCCGCCGCTGAGGATGCGCCGGCCGCAGGGGGACCAGCGGGCGGCCCGCACCGCCTCGCTGTGCAGGTGGTAGGTCTGCAGGCAGCTCCCTGAGTCCACGGCGTTCCACACCTGCGGAAACACAGCCAGACATCACCGCAGGCCGGGCCGGCTGGAGGCCAAGCGGCGGACGAGGGTCCCCTTCTGTCACCTCAGACGAGTGTGTGCTCAGGGAGTCCTCAGCGAGGTGTAGGAGGCCCCTTCGCCAGTGTCC